GTTGTGGGGAAACAATGACATGTTTCTGGATAGACAATCCCATCTTCATGTTAGATTAAGTTGCATGGCTTCTCAAAGATTTTTTTATTTTAAGCACAGATTGGAGAACGACTTTCCTTCCCAACCCATATGTCCTCAAATGAAAGCAGAATGACAATACACAATACAGAGGGGAAAATACCTTGTCAACAAACACAAAACTATGGGCGAGGTTTTCCAAAGCAGCTAGGAGTCGTGTTGGAGGACAGCAGAAGTCAGAGAAAGGAATGGGGTTGTTGGAGCTGGGTGGAGAGGCTGCATAGCCATCCACACACACTGTCCTACCGAACATCCAGCTGAAGTTCATCTCTATTACCAGCAACTACCTATGAGTAAGAGGCTGGCGATGTATCTCCCACTCTTCTAGAAGCCGTGTCTCAAACCACAGTGCAAGCAGAGATGAGTCTGATTTTTTAACCATGGGTATGTAAGGGTGTGCCATGTTGCCTACACAGACAACACAAAAGATAGAGCTAGGCTCTATAGGCAGCTTACATGGTAGGAAATGTTCAGTTTTAAGTGCTTGCTTTTGCAATCTTAATGTTCGCGTAAAGGTTTTCCAGTCAAGTCCACAAGACTAAGAGAACGAGAATGCTTTAGCTTGGCAAAGATGAAAAGTCAATAAAAAAATCACAGATAGTAGAATCTGAATAGTCTTTTTCACAAACTGTATTATGATGCAAGAAATAGGATGGCTCTTCGTTAAACCAACTGTATGTTGATTTAAGTGCAAGAAATCAGAGTTATATACTGCAACTGTACAAATAAATGGTTGTCTGCAGAGGTGAAGGGAACTACAGAAGGCTCACGGCTCTGAGCCCTGGACAATCATGGCAGCATATGGTGTGTGTCACGGCAGCATCTGTACTAGCACGAGTAACATCATCTTTCCCGACAGTCCTAAAATCTATGAAATGCAGAGCAGAGAAGACAACAATATGATGACCAGGAAGACTTTTTACACTCCTTTGAATCATCAAATCCCAGCTGCTGCTGGACGCAGGGTATCCGGTGGGATGGACTGCTGCTCTGCTCTCTAATTGGGAGTGCTACCTGCTTGTTTGTGGATGGGAAATGCTCTCCCTTCTCTGTGAAGTTCAGTGCTGCAGGGCCACTGTAGGAGAGGAGAGGCTGACTCTTTTTGTTCTTTTTTAACAGAAAGCAAGATCATAGAATCATAGAATCGTTAAGGTTGGAAAAGACCTCTAAGATCATCGAGTCCAACCATCGACCCAACACCACCATGCCCACTAAACCATGTCCCTAAGTGCCTCATCTACACGTCTTTTAAATACCTCCAGGGATGGGGACCCACCCCCTTCCCTGGGCAGCCTGTTCCAATGTTTAACCACTCTTTCAGTAAAGACATTTTTCTTTATGCCCCATGTTAGAGGTTCACACAGGACAGGACTCCTGCTGTCTACCTGAGATGTCTGTATTAGGAGCCCTGTCTCTCAAGGCTCCCTCTGTAATCAGCGGACATGGACAGGCACCTTTAAAGAGCAATCCGAAGCATTTAAATGACGGTCTTGCCCTGGCTTGCATTTTTCAGTTACCTCCCTCATTCTGTTACCAAAAAGACAGGCTCAGCTGCTACCGCAGGTGCCTGAAGTGAGGTGCTATGATGACCCAGCCCTACAAGCACAGTAGAGCAAAAGAGTTGCTGCAAGTGCTGCTGCACGCTGCCTGTAGAAGACCTCCAAAGTGACATTTCTCTCTTCGATAGCTTTATACGCCAAACACCATGGTGCCGCTCTGTAGGCTCTCTCTCACATATTTATTAAAGGCTCCAGCCAAAGTGCATTATGAACATGTATTTTAACACAGATTTTGCCAAGCCAAGAATATTGGTAGAAAATAGCGACTGGATGCTTTTGCACATCAGGCTGGTAAAACAAATTAGGTACAAAATTCCCGGCAAACCACTAGGGGAAAGGGTCACGAGAGAATTAGTTTCATTATGGTGGCTGCAAAACTGAATGCCGTCTCTAAAAAGGTGCTTGGTAAATGAGACGATAGAAAGAAATTGAGTCATTTAGTGCCTGAGGAACAACTGAACTATCTGAGATAAGACTGCCCAGATGAAATTAAATGAGAGAGAAAAGTTAATTAATACAGAGCAACCTAAGGACAACTTACTTTTAAATTAGGTTTCTGACAGCTGTTATGCCTTGGGAACTCCTGCTCATAAGTATTCCGTAATCGTCTGTGTAAACCACAACTTACGCTAACTCAGCTTTGCTGCAATACTCAACTTGTGTATCTCTTACTTCCTTTGACTATTTACACATCAAAGTGATGTGTACTGCCTGCTGCATCCTTGGTCTCTGTTTGGCCAAGGAACCCAAACATCAGAAGCCACTCTTTAAAATTTGGAAGCCTGTAAGAAAAGGCCTGAAATTAAGAATTTGCAAAGCGTAAGTTAATACCCTCTAAGGCCTCAGTCCTGTGTGTCCTACTCAGTCAGTGTGTTAAAATTGCTATAATGGGCAAGAGTAGCTTGCCTAGTATCCAGTCCCTTACAGTGCCCGAAAGCAGAAGCTTAGGGGGAAAAAACCACATAAACAGAGGAGGCATATACAGATATTTCCCTAAAACACTTCAACAGCCTGCAGCTCAGCCTTCCTAAATCAAAACTGGGGTCCTGCTAATTAGAAGCTGTCAACACATTTACTTCCCATGAAATTCCCATTCACCCCTTGAATACGTGCATTTCCCACCATTCAGCAGCGAGCAGCCGAAGAGCGTGGCTTTGCCTTACGTGAAGCACCACCTCCTGTTGCTTGCTCTGACCTGCCACCTGCCAGCTTCCCCTGAAGCTCCCCACCATGCACAGTGCAAAGGAGACCAACTGATTCACATTCTTCACATCACTGTGTTATTACTCCGTGTTACTGCTGTATTACTATCCTACACCCTCCACAGCCATCTCTTTCAGAAACTGAGGAAGCACAGCCTACATCTTAGTTGTCCTTCACAGGGAAACCACTCCCTAGTACCTTTGATCATCCTGGTCGCCCTTTTCTGAACTCTCTCCAGTGCTACCACATCCCTTTTCAAGTGCTGGGAACCAGACCTGCACAGATTTAGGGAGGTGCACCACAGCATTCGCTGCGTTGATCTGCGTTCCTCTTCTCCTAATTCCTAACACTGTTTGCTTTTTTGATCACCACTGAGCGGCGAGCTGACACCTTAATGGAACCATCTATTATATCCCCAAGATCTTATTCCTAAATACCAACGTTCTGCTCAGAGCCCGACACTTATCTGGAGAGCCGGTATTGTTTTTTCCTCCATGTGTTTCACCTCACGTTTATCGATGTCGATTTCCCACAGCCATTTCAGAGCCTGAGAACTGCAGTTCCTTACCTTTTAATAGACTCATTGCTTACCACTAATAATTAGCATTCGCAAGCAGTCCTTCATGTGGCAAGCTGCATTTCTGTGAGGCTTGGTCCTAGACAGCAGCCTTTCAAAGAATAACATACTGCAGAAACAACATAAAATAGAAGATGTCTGGGTTTGGACACCTTCTTGGGGTTAGCTGTTTAATGAGAAATAGGAAGGGATGGAAGACTTGGTTCTCACACGCAAGCTTCCATGTTTGCTGCAACCAGCCTCTGCAGGCCATCATTCAAATTTGCTGTTCAGAGCTGTGACTGACATGCTGTTTTTTCCAGCCTCCATCCTCCTGTATGCGTTACTTATCAGTACTTGGAGAAGAGATCATTGTAGGAGACAACTGCTTGAATATTGATTGTAGAGGCATTTCATGATGACATTTTTAAATAAAATTGAGGTTTAATTGTTGACTATTCAAATGAAATGGCATAATTTGTTCCTTCATTCTCTGAGAACATCACAGATGTACAGGTTTGTCTGTTTTAAAGTCAAGAGTTGTTTTATTTCTCCTGCGTCACCTTCTGAGGCAGCCAACAAGTGAATTTTTCTTAGGCCAAGAGCTAGACTATTGCACAAAGTTGCACAACTACCCATAAAACAACTAATTCTCTAGTCGGGTCAGATCAGTTCACTTTTCCTCCATGAGTCTTCACACAGTCTGGCTCCCAGATATATGCTATAAAGCATTAATGAGCTACCAGTGGTCCCTGGCATACAAACTAGCTGTAGAATATACACAAGGCACTTACCGATATTACCAAATTGTTTCAACTGTTTTATTTCCTGTTTGAAAAGACAAAAGCCCTACTCCGCATTAGCTCAAACACATTTCCTAGGAATAGTTGTCTAAATAGATCACACAAAGGAGGGAACAAAAACCAAATGGGAATATTAATGTTAACAGTAATATTTCTGCCTTCGGAAAACCAGAATTAAAAAATAAGTAAGAAAAAAAAGAGAATATGCATTGTGTGCCTAGTTTAAAACTTACTTGTACCTCCTTGTTCAGCACCAGACCCTTCAAGAGCCATTTTTGTTCATTAGCATCAGAAGAGATGTCATCTTAGCAAGAACAATCCACATGGACACAGAAAGTCTTACAGTTTAAAAAAAAAAAAAATTTAAAAAAGCACCCAAAAGTCCCTTTTCCCAAACTTACTATTCTCTCCTTTAGTAATTCTCCAGAAGCTCTTCCAAGATCTTCTCACAGCAAGCACGATGAAATTTATGGGGAAAGGGGACTGACCCCCAGGCTCGGAGCGTCCTGCACCAAAGCTGCAGCCTCCCATGCAGGGCACGCGAGGCACGGAAAGGGGACTGACCCCCAGGCTCGGAGCGTCCTGCACCAAAGCTGCAGCCTCCCATGCAGGGCAGCGTGAGGCACGCAGAGTACGCAAGAGGGAAGTTGCGCCGCGCGGTACTGACTACTCTTAAAAACGAAACCACCGTCGTATCCGGAACTTAATTGTCTATGTGCTTGGTCCCTGCTGGGGACTAAAATAAACAGAAATACAAATGCAGGAAACATGCAACTCTGCAACTCCTGAAATACCAGAAAGTATTAGAAATAGGCGATCATTCCTCCATGGTACTGCACGGCATGGCTGTTTGCTAGTCTGCATCTTTGGGGCGACTCACAGTGCACTTTTTCTTTGAATATAATAATAAAACAGCCAACAACAGACAAAATCATCATGCTGCATCACACCTTTTACTCAAGGTCCTTTGAGCATTTTACAATGCAGATCAGGACTACTCTACCTACCTGGTAAAAGGAGAAACCTAGGCAGACGGAGATTAACTCGTTTGTCCTTAGAGAGCTAGTTAGCCACACCAGGGCCCAAAACGCTCCTCTGAGACAAGAGTGATCTCCACCGGGCAGTGCTGCTGCTCTTCCTTCCCTTTTCCATCATTGATTAAAGAAGGAAAGCTCCCTACAGCAACGGCTTTCCCTGGACATTTCCTTCAGGTACCAGTTACATTCATCAACTCTTCTGGAAAGCAAAAGCAACTCTGCAGTCCTCCATGAAATCCCCGAATGAGACAGTAGACACCCACACTAATTAGGCTGGTTTGGTTTAATGCTGTTAAGGGACTGACTCCTGGGTTTAGCTCCATGCCATAGACAAGAACGGATAGTTCGGCATGAGCCAAATGGGGTAAAGGAAAGTGGGTTGAAAACAGATTTCAAGCTGCCATGAATTCTTAGTAACCGAGAACTTAACCCAAAATCCTTAATCGAAGGGCAAAGTTAACTGTATTTTCTAAGCAGATAACTAGCACAACAATACATCAAATTAACAAAGACCCAGAGTACCTTCTTACCTACGCAGAAGAGCATGCCACAGCCTAGAAATGTAGTAAGTAAAAAACAAAAGGAAGGTATAGTTGGAGATGTTATTGGGAACTTTGGACAAATCCAGTTTTGTGTCAGCAGGCAGAGGGAGCAGGAAGAATTAAACGTTGGGAAACCCATCTGTAATTACTAGGTCTCTCCCTACTCCAACTGGCAACTCCAAGGACTTTTTTCTTGAAAGCCTCATTCACAATACAGTGTGTCAGTGCTAAAAGAACAAGTCTGAAACACACGTGATGGACAAGCATCTTTTTTCCTCCAAAAACTGATGTTGCCACCAGTGCATGAAGTATCCAGTCTTCTGTAGAACAGCACTAGTAAATTCTGTATCAGAGCTGCATTTGATTTCATGCCCATGTCCCCCCCCAGAGTCTTTCTGTACATTCCCAAAGCACACCTCATGCGCACACACACCCCCACACACCTGGCCCTCACATAAAAATAGCCACTGAAGAACAATTCAAGGAATCAACAGCACTCCCACCAATAACAAGTTCTGATAATGCATTTTCCTGCTTCTCCACACGGCCTTGCTTTATTGGAGAGCCACCCTATGCTCTCTCTATACCAGAGCAAAGGGAAGTACACAGGCATTTTCAATGTCACTCCAGACTTACTTGGGCTTCTGGCTTCCTAAGTGCTCTGTAGACACGTATGGCACTGGCTTCAGCATGCCAGGCTTCCCTCCTGTGCTGCTGCAGAAGAACTGGGCCCTAAGTCTTCTAACGGTGTCAGAGAGCGTAATTCAGTTACTTTTCTCTTGTGGAAGGAAAAAGGTAAACAAGTTGATCAGGTCCAGTAGCTTAATAATATTAAAAAAATAAAAAAGCAGCTGATGAAACCTACAGAAGAGCTTATTTGTGTCTGCCCATACAATCTCATCACCTGTACCAGGGCCAGAAACCTGAGGTCACTGCCTTGCTAGGTCTGCGTAGATCAGCATATATCGAGGATCCTTGATGAAGAAGACAGCTGAAGCCCACCTTTCAAAAGTTCTTCCCAGACTTGTCCATTTAGCCAAAAAAAGATGCAGAAAACCAAGTGTTCATCATTTATTTATTTGAATAAATAGTACAACTGTCACAAACCATGCACAACACTCCTGCTGTTTTTTTTAGCCAACATAGCATTGCATTGTAACTTGCTTACAGTACACAACTCTGTCACAAAGCTGGATGTCTCCAGCATATGACAAGTCCAGAATTTTATCTGCAAGGCTGGTTTTTAGTAGTTAGAAATCCAGAGTAAACACTGTTAAAAAGAGTAGAAAAGAGCCTTAAAAAATACATTAATACTGAAAGCAATGAGGTGTGGGGAAGAGGGGTAAGAAGCCCTGTAAGGTTTAAACTGATTAAAAAAGATCTCGCACTGTTGAGTTTTCATCTTGAGAAACAGGATGCAGCTGAGGAGTATCTGGGCTTCTTCTGTGGTAATATAGCTCATTGGAACTGAGTACGTCAAGCAGATGCACCTAAAAGGCAAGTTGTATGGACTGGAAAAGACAGACATTCATTAAGTACTTACAAATGTGGAAGCTTTAATGCTGCAAAGCATTCAGCATTCCAGATGAACTCAACAGGATTCAGATCTACCCCACTGGCACCCAGGGAACATATCTAAAACTCCAGTAACACAAAGAGTTCATGAATAACATTTTTAACATTGACTTATCTTTTTGAGAGGAAAAGAAGTAAGTATCATGCATATGTAAGAGAAAGGCTTGACAAAAACAGGTGTTTAGAGCTTTACCTACATTGCTCTTCCTGTAAACTGGATTGCTTGAAGCTCCAGTTCAGTTAAATCCACCCTGCTCCCAATCTGGTTAACAATAATTACAGCATCTGCAGGAAGAGTGACCTCGCTAGGCGGCAAGGAGCTAAGGGACAAAAAATGTATTTTCCCTGTGCAACATTTACCAGCAGACTTAAAAACATAACAAAACAGGGTATGACACCTGCCCCCGATCCATCCAGGGCACCAAGCCTGCAGTCTTGACTGACAGGGGTATTAAAGGAATGCTAAAAGGGACCCATGCCTCAGGTTGTAGAGGAGGGACTCAGGTTTCTGCAGAGTGACTAGAAACACCTAATCGAACAAAACAGAGACTGTCTTAAAACTTGGTGTTATGTTCATATCTGCTCACATGCAGTGAGGATGCCAGCTGTAAATCCCCATCTCAGAAACAGCCATCCCCCCTCCCAAAGCCAAACTGCTCTTATCAATCTCCCCTTGTTACTTTCTTTTGCTTTTGATATTAATATTGCTTGCAATTTCAAAAACTAGATTTCTCTGGAGGTCTTTCCCAGCGTCTCAGAGAATATAAACAGCATTGGCACTTCCACATCAGCTGAAGGGAGGTGGATGGAATGACAGCTCTTTAACAGACTTGTTTCCCACAAAGAACACTGCATTAAATTAAAAGTTTGAGAGACCTTTCAGTTCAATCACCTTCCAGCCTCATGATACCCCTATTTCACAGCACAAAAGTTAGACCAATTTCATTAACTTGCCAGGAGAGCTGACCCACCAGGCCTTAGTGCCTCTGCAAGTCTCCTCTGTAATAATTGCTAGCGTCATGGTAAAGTCTAGTGGCCCCATCTGAAATTCAAGTCCAATTGTACTAGGCTCTGTATAAACAGCGAGAGGTCAGCTCCCTCCTAAAGTACAGACAAGCAATGATTCCCCACAGAACCTTTTAGGGTAGATGAGATCTGAATTTTTAATGGAAAGAAAGGGCAATTTCCTCCCATCTTTGTTTTGAAGGTATGAGAGGAGGTGACCCAAATAAATCAAATACTAGAACTCAGAACCCAAAAATATGAAACAAAGAAGCAGAAGACCATTTCTCTCCCCCTGAGATTAAAATAAACGTTTAAGAAGGGAAGGAGAGAATCCTAATTGTAAAATTAGGATTATACAATTCAAATAGCAAGTTTCCTCTTGAACTCAGAAAGGTAAATAAAGTTTGGCATAAGAAATCCACTGTTAGGGAAAAAAGATGCCTACTTACAACAGGACTCAGGTGAGCCCATGGCGCAGAGCAATGCCACCCGCTTCCTCTTTGGGGCACTAAGCCTAATGTTTCGCACAAAATCATGGCTGCCCATAAAAGAAAAGTTGCTGCTGTGATACATAAAAGCAGTAGTCAAATCTCTCCCCTGTGCACTCCGAGGAAAGGAGTGCTATTATATGCATATTCCACAAATAATTTACTCTGGAAATTACATCCCCATTTCCTTTGCACAGCTCACCTCAAAAATCTATGGCTCATGTTCCAGCACAATCTCCTTGTACACACCGCTACACCTGCACATCACCAGCCAGGAACAGCTCCACAGATGAAACCTGTTAAGTACTGAGGTAACTAGACTCTACCAGATAAATCTAGCAATCTTTTTTTAAAACAGATTCCCACTAAAATCCATAACAGCTTAAAAAACTAGGCCAGAGCCTAGCAAAGTATTTCTTGGGATGGCACAGGACAACTCGATGAAATTAGTTTAAAGCATAACTGATCACTGAAGAGCTTTGCATTCGAGTGCTAACCATTGGCTTGCACTACGTATACCACGCCTTGCATAGCCCAGCGCAATCCACAAGTAAAGGCAAGCTCTTATTTATACAGAAATTCAGTTTTACTCTTTAGGAAAGAAAATACATAAAACTCTGTTTATAAAAGCCTGACCCCAGAACTGTACAGCTGGAATAATTCCAACAGGAATGAATCTGACCCTTTAACTCAACTACGTGAAATGAAGAGTCAGCCTTTAAACTGCCAAGCTCATTATTGCCCATGTACATTTCAGAAAGGTCTGGGGGCAAAATGCATTAATCCATCCTGCACCTATTTGACCAGCTCCTGACTGACCTGATTGAAGCTGCATGCTTAATGGATGACAGTGGCTCTAGCAACCAAA